CGCCGTGCTCCAGCGACGGCGCCGCCGCTTGCGGCGGCGGTTTGCCTCGGGTTGGCCGTTTCCGGCCGAATTCGGCCACACTCGCATTGGTTCCTGCGATAAAACAACCCTACGACCCTCGGGGGGCCGAAAATTTACGAAAAACCGAAGCTTACCGGCGGCGGTGCTCTCGGGTGCGGCGGCTCTCCGATGAAGTTCATGTTTTGGTGATTCGGCTCCGATCAACCTGTAGAGAAAAGAATGGTGATTACGGTGATATAAAAATTGCATTAAACGGAGGCCGTGAAGGGCCTCATCGGAGGCAAAAACCGAGAAGGGACGCGGCGGCGGCGCTAGCTTTCAGCCGTGTTTTTCGGCCGTTTGGCCGGGATTTTGGCTCCGATTTTGCCACTGGGGAAATCAGCGTGGAAAAACGAGTTGGGGGTATGAAATTTACCTCGATCGGTGGTCGGAAATCCCTCCGGTGCGGCGACGAGTGGCGGCGGCCGGCTTCTGGTTCGTTTTCTCCGGCGAGGGCAGGCGGCTAGGGTTTGGGGTCTGGTGTGGGAGTCTTATTTATACCCTTTTGCCTTTTGATCTCAGCCGTCCATTTTGATTTAATCTGGGCCGTCCGTTTTTTATTAAATCTGGGCCGTCTGTGCGATTAAATCTGGACCGTCCGTGCGCGCGATTGATCTGGGCCGTCCGATCGCGCGCACGCGGATCGCCAACGTGGCCCGTCCCCGGTCGACGTGGTTTTGCCACGTGGCAGGTCCTGGTTGGCCAAGCCTGCTGACTGGGTCTGCTGACGTGGCACGCGCGTTTTTTTTTTTCCTTCAATTTCTTCAATTTCCCCGGGCGCTACATGAACACAATACAATTAGGGCATGATGCTCATTATCAATCTTGATGTTTGTATTATTTAAGTTCATAATGATAGAATTAAATACACCAAGATACTATTGGATGGACATACATTCACTCATTTTTAGAATATACAGTCTTTTCTTCATATAAAGACTATTTGTCAACGATCTTGTATAGTATAGTCCTTCTAATTTCTTTCACGCAATTGAAGAGGAAAATTCCTAAGCAATTTCCTGTAGAATATTATCAATTCCACTCATAAAAATCGCCCATAAGGTTTTATCTTCCAAATTTGTCTTTTCTATCTCTCTTATACCATCTGGAAATCTTTTTTAAATTGTATTTCCCAAACCCTGTAGTACAAATAATGATCTCGTTCTAATTTTTAATAAACAAAAACTCATTTTACCATCAAATTTTTTTATCTTATACTTCGTGGATGTCATTTCGAATCATAGACTGTGTACCAAAAACAAATAAATAGAAATAAATAACATTATCATAAAATAAAAAATCACTCACAGAAAATCACTATTGCACAGAAAACCACTGCATGTGCCTCCATGCGCCTCCACGTGCCTTCATACATCGTCACAGGTGCTGTCGCCAGAGCTATCATGAATCATCGCTGATCTGCTCACCGCTATCGAAAAACACCAAAAACACCACAGAAATTCGCAACCCTTCTGATCTAACATGAGTCTGTTGAAAACGTGCCGAAAAGCCAGTGAAAATGTCGCAAATTGAGCCTCACATGATTTGAGGTCCCCCGTGTTGGTTCGTCTTCTCCGATTTATCAACATCTCTTTTCTTTGACTTTCTGGCCTTAAACCACACAGATTTCGCTGAAAGGACGATTCGTGTACAGATCGAGTTTCTTTGCAGCCTCTGCAGACTGACCGAATTTTGCATGACTCACTTCTCCTTGTTGGTCACAGAAGCTCGTCAGGTTCTGTCAACAACCATCGCTTGGCTTTTGGTTTCAAGTAGAATGCAGGAATGATTGATCTTCCAATAGCACCATGCATGAAGCCACTCCTTCCTCTTTAGGCCACATTGTTCGTCTTTGGTCTTGAAGGGAGACCCCAACTACATTTTTTTGTATTCTATCTTCTTAATTTTTTTTTTGTTTTCTCTCACTTAACTAATATGTTTTTTATCTCTAACTCAACTCAAACTTGAGCTCTGATATCACTTTGTGGGAAATTGATTCATAAATCATGTACAATCACAAATAAAGCAAAAGCAGAAAATAGAACAACACAGAATTTTATATGGTTTGGCATGGTGCCTACATCTATAGGTAATATTAGGAAAAATATATTTTACTATGATTAAAAGAGAATACATCACTCATAGGTTAGCAAACTTATAAAGAGAGAGAGACCACTAGAATTCTTTACATCCACAAAATATACATAAAATTAATCCTTAGAATAATTACAAAAATATTTTCATGGTTAAAATCATCATAATTTAAGTCACATCGTTTTTGTTATAAATTTTTAGTGTGAATCTGTTCGAAATATTTAACTACATAAAAAAACATGAATTTAATTGCATTAGGTTAGAGAACTTTTTTAGAAGAAAAAAAAAATACTAGATAACAATATGTTCAGACTTTAACTTAGGAAATTTTGATCTTACATAATGTTCCTTTACTTAGAATGAAAATAATTTATTGGGATAAAATCTAACTCGGTCATCGTAAGTTTATCAATACATTTAAGTTAAAATCCTATGTCATATTGAGTTAAATATTATTGGTTAATTATTATTAGCTCATAGTGCATCTATAAACTAGTAAATACTACATTTTTAATAAAGTTCAAACTTATAATATTTAAATAGAATTGTATGATTTAATCATTAAATCATTATATTGATAGTTGTTAGAGAATTAATTATTTTTAATTTATTAAATATTTTTTAAAGAATTAATTAGGTACATATGTAATGGGTTGGTATTATCCATTGGAATCGCTTTCTTTTGTTTTGTTTTTTGTTTTTAAAGAAAAAAAAAAAAAAAGAAACAAACAAAAAACTTTGTCTTTTCTCTATACACAACGTCAGTCTCATGGACCCTAACCCCATGACAAACATATTTTTTGGATACTTACAAAAATTGACTAACATCAATAGGGTAGAAAGGCGGTCTGAGTTGATCCGGTTTTTTTGTGTGCTTTAAGATCATATAATTTTGTTTAACCGATTTAAATTCAAATATATTTAAATTATTACAACAGAAAACTCAAGACCTGATTTTGTCAAATTTAAAATTCTAGTGTTTAGTTAATAGAACATTTATTTAACGTTATTATGAAATATTTAATTAAATTCGATAAATGTTATCAATATAATTTAAATTTTATTACTAAGTAAATAACTAGACCGAAAAAAAAAAAAAATAATCCTCTGTCGATGAGCAGTGCAAAAGCAAAGGGTCTTGCCACCTTTTTCATTTTTTTTTTTTAAAAA